GCTTCAGCTGCAGTTATACCCTCTCAAAAGATAACCACAAAAGTATTTTCTTTGCTAATAAAGATAAAAAAGTTATAACGACCATCGTATTATCTTAGTTTAATCGTGTTTCAAGTGCATTATGGTCGTTTTCTTTATAATAAGCAGAATAAAAAAGGTAGTAGTTGCAGATATCTGGGTAGCTAACTAGCAAGCTAACGCTACATTATTATTGCTAATTTGTGCATGACCACTGCATTTTGACATATTTCCATGTGGCATTCCCCTCCTTTGATGGCATATGTGGTCCGAAATTCAACTTAAATCCAGCAGTGAAGTTGCTGAAGTGTTACCGCTCCTCTAACATTAGTGCGGACTGACAGGGCAGGGGCAATGGTTGCTAACTTTAGCCTACAGAGCACCGATAGTTGCCTGGTAATGAAACAGTGTTGTTTTTCATTTGATGACTTCCTTGTTTGATTGATAGCACGAAACTTAAGCTGTGAGTGACTCACAAGCATCTTTTCTATCAGGTAAATGGCAAATGTCAATGTGATTATATAGTATTATTGCCTGTCATGACCGTTTACTGGTGACAAATTAGGGGTCTCGAAGTGTTGTGCCACCTCATAGGGGAAGATTTTGACCACTTCCCCTTGTAACTCTGTTTGGAGGGACAAAGGGGCATTCCAAAAGGAGGGGTAGTTGTAAAAATAAGAGATGGGATTGGGGCTTGATGTGAGGAGTGGAGTGGAGGGGCACATAATTAAAAAATATACTATGTTTTTCAATTGACTGCAACAAATGTTAGAAAATTAGTTTTCTAGGAAATGATTGTACAAATTATTGACATTTATTTGAGAAAAATATTGGGAAATTAAATTAAAAGGTCAACAGTTTCCTTTAACGTAATGGTAACTTGACAGCACTGTATGTATTTACTGTGATTTATACTGCAAGTGCCTTTTAATTTCTTTGACAGTTTAAATTGCTTGATGCTAAGAGGCAGTGCCATCAAATGTACTTAGCAGTTTTGGTGATGCATGACTTTATTTTAAGACCGTTTGCATGAGAGAATCTGCTAAATGGCCGAAACAGGTTCTTGAGGTTTGCTAAATGCAGTTTTCTGTGAGTCAAGTGTGGCTGGAATCGCTCCAAGGGAAAGCTCAGCCAAAGTGCACCTAGTGGCTCTGAGTGAAGTCTTAATTTGCATGAATAACCAATGTTGGAATCAACCGTACCTCACTTTGTTATGTAAAATAACATTTTAGACAGGGTGGGATGTGAACTATTACTGTGGTGCACTAATGTGCCGCATGTCTAAGAAGTAGAACTGATGGGCGCGAGTGTGGACTGATGAATGAATAGGACTCAAACTAGTCAGGACTTCCTGTTTCCTGTGGAGGTGGAACTGGAAGAGGAAGTAGAGCTCGTAGAGGCTGATGGATGGCTGACAGACTGGATCCTCTGAGCTGTAGAGCTGAGTGTTTTGAGCTAACCAGAAACATTCCTGTGCAAACTGGTAATCGGTCCGGAGAGAGCAGCTTACTGTGAGAACAAATCCCACTAAAGCCTGAATCTGTTGTTGGTATTTTAATGCTAAAAACAGCATCATGAAACACTCCAGTACAAATGTTTTGTCAATTCATCACAATCTGATGCAGGCCAATAAATTCTGATAAAGTCTAGTCAGGTTTTTGTTTTATTTTCCTTATCAGTAACCACATGGGGCTGTTTTTCCTCAAACATATTTTAAGTAGATTTTTACAGATAGGGCAAGCTTCCTTATTTCTAGAGTAAAACCAGCGTTTTTAAAAAATGTATTTAATGCCACATTTATTGGCTTCCACTGTCTCTTATGGTTTTATTTAGGAGCAGAAGAAGCAAAGAAAAGGCAATTTACTGTCACAACTAGGTATGATGGCAGTAGCAGTGAATTAGAACAAGTGACGGCCCTGTAAACCAAATCTAAGCACCCATCACTCCCAACTCTAGTTACTATGTCAGACAAGTTTTGTCAACAATACGGCGATGTCTTTACAGTTTACCACCTACCGCAGCTTAATGCCAGAAATGCCAATCCAACATCAAAGATCTAGTGGTGACTAAGGACAACTGCTGCGTCACCTCACATCACTTGTGCCAAAAAGTTGTACACTGCAAAGCCTACAACCAATGGCCATCTGGCAGGAAAGTTTTGCACCTGTATGAGAGGAAATAACTCTCCATACCAGCAGGTGGCGGCAGTCTGTATTCATAATTCCAAAAAGGAAACCAAAAGGCCGACAGGACAGATCAGGCCCCAGGAAAGCAGCTCAGCTTTGCCTCCAATTTTCCCCAGTGGGCACTCGTGGTATTGCAGCAAAAAAAGCCCAAAAAGCATTTTCCTATTAGACAATGATTGCAAAAGAGAAGTCTGTAAAACTGTTGACAGGACACCTTGAACTTCCAACAGGGTCAATTAAGACTCTTGTAATTATGAAGTTTTGATCCATGGAGGTTTTATATTTGTAAAACTTTCCTGGAGCCAAGAAAAGTGATATCAAAATCTGTGACGCCATCACCATGTAAAGTCTATGAGCTAGAAACTCTTTTGGTGTACATGCCAGGCGAACAACTCCATCGGACTGAATAGGCGCCATCTAGGGGCCTGGTATCTAGTTTTTATTAAAATGTATGGGACATGTATAAGACACTAGTTAGCCAGTTAGCGCATTAACAACACAACCCGATACTGAAAGAACAAAGGATATTTACTGTCCACTAGTGAACAACGACACGAACAGAGACAAACCTTTTCTGTTAAAGAGCTCAATGGCTAAAAAAAACCCAATCTAACTTATATTACGACTTTGTTTTGATCTTACACCCTCTTGACTGTGTAAGTTGCTGTGTTGTCTGCTTTACACGCTACTGTTTATCTTCTCATACAAAGAGAGAGATTTCACTCATCGACGAGGTCCGCTGTCTCTGACACTGATTTACCATGCTGAATCAGCCGAAATAAAAGCTGACGAGGGCCGACGATGGCCAACTAGTGCCAACGGTGGTGGACAGACTGCCAAAGCTACGGGGACAGATGCTCACTGACAGCCCGATATTGACCAATTTCTGACCGTTGGCTCATTGTGTCAGGGCCTTTAGTGTTATTAACTGCAGGCAGACAATTAACAACAGTAAATGTTAGATAACACTGGTAACAACTGCTGAAAATATAAACATATAATTTAATGTTACTTAAAAATCATAGGTGTCTTTTACAAACAGAGAAACGAGAGAAGAGCATCTGTCAGAGCTTAACATCTGCAAACCTAGAAACAGACTCGAGGTCTTTATGTCCCAGGGAGAAAAAAAAAAATGTTAATTTGAGAACAGAATCACTGACCCCAAACCAGTGCTTACAAACTTGTGTGTATTATGGTATTAGAGCTGTGATCATAGGCGAAGCAGCAAGCCTGTTACCAAGCGACTAATACATGGAAATGTACCGGCTAAAGACCAATCACCAGGCTGCAGAATAGGCTTTGCTCTTAGTCGAGGGATTACCAGGCAGTGTGAAATGAAGTCTGATTATGCCGCCCCCCACCCCTCGCTCACTCACACACACACACACACACACACACACACGCTTCTCTTTCTATGTCAAAGCCTTTACGAAGGAGGCAGTTGACAAAACTAGATCCATAATGGTATTAACTATAACATTAACACCCTGGCCTTTTATACATGAAGACATCAGGCAATCACACAAAGACATGCTGTCACATGTATTCACAGACCCACCCACACACACACACACGCATGGTCTCAGCAGCAGCTGTTCTGCCCACTCCCATAATCCCTGTAGATGGAGGAGGCGTGTATGTGTGTGTGTGGTGACATCTGCTTTTCCCAGTGTGGCCCTGTCATCAATGGTTTGTCTGGGGCCGAGTTTAGAGTCTGTGTGAACTCGCCGCATAGCATTGTACTGTAAGTGTGAGGACAGAGAGCAGTGTTTATGTGCTAATTGTGGTCAGCTGTGTTACTTAAAACCATCAGAGTTATTATGAGTGTGAGTTTAGTAGACCGACGAGGAGATGATGGGGATAAAATATGCTGTGACAGTGTTTCTAGTTTTATATCACCATGGTATTGTATATCATGATATTATAGAGTTGCCAATGACTCACTCATATCTGTTGTGCTGGCTGCAACAAAGTCCCTCCACTTTTCTGTCTTTGGCCAATATTTTTATGGTCCTCCAGCTCTGTTGGTGGTGTTAAAGTTCTTTCTATATCATCCTGTGCCATGATATTTTGGACCTCCCTTTCCTCCGTTGCCCTCTGTGCTCCGGTGTAAAGCAACTCTTGGGATAGCTGTGATGTCCATGCTGAGCACGTGGTCAATCCAGGTCCTCCTACGTCTCTTGAGTATGGAGCATATGTCATCTTTCAGGATGATTTTGAGAAGGTTTATTTGTGAGATGGTCTATGGCCAGCCTGAATTTCACAGCTCCTTTTACAGAGAGAATTACAAATGGGGATTATGGAATTTAAAATGCTTGGACATCCATCAGGCAGTGACGGTCGCACCAAAAGGTTGGTTGCATTATGGGAAATGTAGGAAAGGTCCTGATATTTCACCCCCTGCTGCTTAAATTTGAACCATTCTTATTTTAATCTGTCTCTTGTGAGTCCTTCAGCTTTACGGAAGTGCCATATTAATCTTCTGGAAAACCCCTTTAATAAAATGATGCCCTGGGACATTATTGGACCATTACTGCATGTTATCATTCTTCCAGTTACCATGACTTCATTACTTTTAACTGTCAAACAAAGGCCATAATGTCCCAAAAACAATTCTTACTTAAACTTAACCTTTGATTTAATTGACCCTCTAAAATGCTTACACTGTTTGTTTTTGTATCCCTGATACCGTGTGCAGTCATTGTGCTCTAATAGGTCACACTTCACGTGAAATCTTTAAGTGACACCAAACTCTGTTTTTAACCTCGTCCTTGTGGGTTTTTTTTTTCTCTTCAGGTCAAAGAGGAGATGCTGCTGGAAGCGCTGACGACCAGGAAGACTGTGACTGTTGGAGAGAGGCTTATCGTACCCTACAAACTTGCTGAGGTGACCTTTTTAGTTTGACACTTACCCACCTGAGTCTCAAACACACAGGCTTTATATGACCTTCTAAAACTGATGACCTACTACTGGTAAAACCCCCTGTGAGCCTGTGTGGTCCCCACACACTTAATAAAACCCAGAGGATGCTAAACATCGAGGAACATTTTAATATGTTTTAATAGTTGACTACCAATAGTCAGAAGGGCCTGTGTGAGGGTGGCAGTGGAGGCGTGGCTTTAGTAAATTCCAGCCAGTCTCAGGGAGGCTTTTTTTTTTTTTTTTGTAGTGGTTTGTTCTGAAGTGCGTCAGCTGCAGGGGAGATTCTGTGTTTGTGTGTGCATGCTTTGGAGCTTGTCTAGGGAGTTTGTTGTGGCACTTCCCCCGACCCCCACCACTTCTGTCTGAGGCTCTTTTGATAGAGGTCTCTTCCTCTGCAACTTCCTGTTTCCTGTCGAGTCAAGGAACAGCGCGACTAAACCCCCCGTCCATACAGCCCTCTGGACTCAGTCTGAGAAATTTACCTCCAGGATGCCTCAGCTGACCCAGATAGACTCCTCTGATGTCTGTCATTGTGCTTGTGCATATTAATATTCAGTGGTTCTCGTGTATCTCTCCATCCCCAGATCCTTTGATGGTTCAGCATAGAATTGAATTTGGTCCAGCTCCCTGCTCGCGTCTGCGGGGCTTTTTGTATGAGGAAGGAAATGCTACACATTGATAGTGTGTTATGCTGCACGGCTCCATCCCCCCATCTAATCTATGGGTTAGTTTAGCCCAACAATGGTTGCTCCCGCTCTCATGTGCCCCCCCCCCCACCCCCACCCCCCATCCCTCCAGTCATGTGGTCTGGTCTCAGGAATGTGCAACCTCCACTGGAATATACAGTACAGAGGCCAAAAGCCAGATCCTCAGTCTGTCTGTGTTTGTGTCTCTCTGTTTCTCCGTCAGTCACACATTTCAAACACTTACATTCCCTTTTTCTCAACCAGCTGTGTAACAAAAGGTCAGACAATGTGATCAGAAAGCTAATCCTGGACCAAGGCTGCAGCTATGATAAACCCTGTCCTGCAGCTTCTGGTGTCATGCCATGGAAGTTCCCTCCTGTCTTTCACAAGAAGGCCTTATCTCTAAAAGAGTGAGAGGTAAATGGACGTAGAGGGACCTGCAGAGGATGAGGCAGTGACCTTTCAATCTCTGAAAGTCCCGTATTGGCAGCAAAGAAAAAGATAGAAAATACCGGGAAAACCCCAAATGTGGGCTTGAAGAGAAGAAAATAGTCTTAATACCTGTCATTATGTAGTTGTAAGTCTCTCCCAACATTAAACCTGCAATAACTGATATTTTGGCTATTTTGGGGCCACAGAAACAAGCTATAAATGGACTGCACATATATAGAGCACTTTTCAACCTTAATGGACAAAGCACTTTATCTCTCAGTGCCTCACTCAAAATCTATACATGCTCTTCTATGTTTTTTATATATGTACTCTTGTAGTTCTTGTTGTTAGTTGCAGTTCACTCCTGAGGGAAACATATATATATATATATATATATATATAAACTTTTCTGTCCGTTATTTAATCCTGGTCAGGTAGTATACAGTGGGTTTAAAGAACTCCTTCACTAAAAATAGCTGCCTGATGATGTCAAAGCAACACAGATAAGAGCGGTGAGCAAGAAACAAAACAGTAAAGTTGCCTAGCTGTTAACCTCTTCTATTACACCCCTTTCCTATCATAGACCCATTCTTGTCCTTTTTAGGGGGGTGGATGAACTTTGGGGGAGACAGCAGGTCTACAGTATGTGTGACATAGAAGTGCTATACATCATCTGAATGCTGGGAACCTGACGATTAATTTGAGATGCAGCTCAGTTTTTCTATAATAAATCATAAATCTGTAGTAAACATTGATTTTTGTTTACGTGCCTCATCATACTTAAAAAGTTTTGTTTTTAATGTCCTAGAACACAATGGTTGACACATATGATGGCCATTCCCGTGCACATTTTTGTCTCATAAATTGTTGCAGCAATTTTTGGGTTCCTACCATTGATTTAGTGCTAAATTTAAGCATCTTTTACCACTTGAAAATTGATAAAAATGGTAAAAATCTAACAAAAAAGCATCTCAAGTACCACATTAAGACACCAAGACCTTTAGGAATGGTAAAGATAATCAATGCTTTGATTTGGTACCAAATTTTTGACATTTGGTGATATCTGTAAGAACTGCATTTTCTGGTGATTGGATGGCAAGCACTTTTGTTCTGGAACCTGCTGAGAACCCCTCTTTATTGTCAGTATACCCATGAAAGCTGTACATCCCCTGAATGCCCCAGGTCTCTAGTTTGTGGCTGTAAAGTTTCATGAGGCTGTGATTATCCTAGAGGTCATTGAATACAGAGAGGTCAAGTATAAAAGAAAGGGTCTCACTACAATGCTGCTTTGGGGGCTAACATCATCACACATGAATAAAAACTGGTCTCATTGAATCACAAGAGTCTCATCTTTCCAGTCATACCTAATTTATGTGATTGCAAGACTGCTTGAGGAACCAAGTATGCAGAAATATTAAAATAAAATAGGCGGAAATAAGACCAAAACGCTGAATTATTTTCACTCAAAACTGCATTGGATGAGCGTAAAGTGGGCGTGTCTGTAAAGAAGAGAATTGTTGGTATCTATAGAACCAATTTTCATTCGGATGTCTTAAAGTGAGAGGTCAAGGGACCCCTGTGAAAATGGCCATGCCAGTTTTTCCTCAACAAATAAAGCCTCACTCCCGACAAGCCAGTTATTTTCATGACATGGTCGGTACTGATGGATTCCTTAGATCTTCTAGTTTCATATCATACAAGTATCTTTACTCAGTTCACTACAGCCTCTGAAAGAGAGTAATGTTGGCCAAGGACATTGGTGTCCCTGCAGAGTGGAGGAGGTTAAACAAACTAAAAAATGGATTTAAAGATGCGATGAAGCTCTGCAGAGCGGAGAGAGACCGCACAGTCAGGTGATAGTTATCTGTGGGTTTGTCACTTTGCACTACAAGGGACCCTTTTCACATAATAGTACATGTCTTGTTATCCATTATTCATACAAAAAATGTTAATTATAAACACTTTAAGTCAAACTAGGAACCACTGAGGTAGAAAATACCTTCCATGCTCACCCACAAGTGTATACTAGGCATAACCTTTAATATTACAACTATAGACCTGACCCCAGCCCTCACACTAACTTCAACCTAAACCTAACTCTAATATTGACCCTTAAACCAAGTCTCTAACCTCAAACAGCCAGTTAAAGAAGTGAGGACTGGCCAAAGTGTCTTCATATTCCCAAAATGCCTTCATTCTCTGTATCTAACAGTCAAATTGGTTCTCACAAAGAGCACACACAGGCCACGAGAGCAGCGAAAGTGAAGCCCTGCCCTGGTCTGACTGAGGGGTCGTGGGAGCAAGTCGAGGCCACCTGTGGAATCCATAACACGCCTGTTTTTATACAAAGGAAATGTGGAAAAAAGAACCTGGCAAATGCTGCCGCTCCTTCTCAGAAATGATTTCTTCCTCCTTGGATGAAAAAAGGTTGAGAAAGTGTGCGAGGCAGCTGTCCCATCCACCCACAGTGGAGATTTTGGCATGTGACCTGCTGAACTTTGGTGTGCTTCAGAAAGAGTTTGGTATTTCCAGAACTTCAATAAGATCCCCAAATTTACTGGATGGGCCCTGGTTGAGTAAGGTGGAATGCATTTTTAAATTGCTTGGTTTTGGTTCCAGGGTAATAATGAGAGTTAAAGTATTTCATGCAGGGAAACTGTGCCTGGCAGCATCTGACAAGGTCAGAATCTGGACTTTGTTAATGTCTTTAAGGCTTGCTTAAGGACACTAAAGAATGCATTAGTGGCTCAGATGAATGTGTCCTCAAAGTGCAACAATTTAGTTTTCAGTACAGCTGTATTTTTAATCAATAAGACACCCTGCTGCTCATATTTTAAGATCTGATTATGGTAATGCTTAACCCAGAAAAGGCATTAAAAACATTTAGGCTAATGTTATTTAAACTATAGGCTTGTATTATTACTTATCTTTTGTGCCAGAGAAATCTCGGGTCATTCTATTTCTTTCTTTCTCCATTGACCTTTTATATGAATTAAAAGGGACATATTCTTCCATGTTTTTTATATAACACTAAATTTGGTATGTAGGCCTACACTTAGGAATGACAGTCGGCTCTTTTCATGTTTAAAGTCATGAAGAAAATGGTACATTTATCAAAGTAAAAAAGTGGAAAAAGGAGAAAGAGACTTGTTTTTTGCCACACTAGCCTCAGCTGTGCTTTGTGGTAAGTGCTAACTAGCAACTGTTAGCATGATAATACACTAATACCCTTTTTCCATTGTCATGCTGATTTGTGTTTCCATAGTCAGTTTAGATGCGCCGTGCCACACCAAGCAGCGCCATAGATGGACCTTCTCCAGAGCAGGTCCAAAAGCCAGCTGCCTGCCCTCAAGCGGGTAGCAGTGCGGTCTTGCTGACTGCAGTCAACCCTCGACAAACCCTGCTCTTGCCCCCAAACGTGCCGAGTGTGCCGAGTGTCTCTGTGTGTTCAGCTCTCAGTATTTTTGCAGCTTCTAACTGAATCTCTGTGGTTTGGAGTTTAGTTTCTCTCCTGCATCCTTTTTTTTAAAAAATTTAGATATCTGCTTTATTTTACTGTTTCATGTTCGCTATCAGCCGTATTAGTTGTGTGAAGTTGCTACTCAACTGTGCACCTTGCCCCCCCCCTCGCATTACATCCAGGACAACTTGGAGAAACGAGCTCTGACTTGTTCAAATGAACTGAATGGCTGGCAAACTCAATTTACAGTGTGGAAAAGTCCGGGGGACATAGAGGACAGATACAGCAGCCCATACCCCTGCGTCTGCTATGCCCCTGCAGACACCCCAGGACACTTCCCAGAGGTCCTTTGTTCATGCATTCACAGATCAGAGCCAAGTCCGATT